GGTGTAACATCGGCCCTTGCAATGCAATCCTGAAATCGTTTTTCTTAACACTGCGAGACAAGTTGCTTGTAACAGCGCCTTTAGCCGATTTAGTCTATTTCTTTCGTATTTTTTAATGTTTTTTCCTAACTATACTTTCATTAATTTTCATCAGAAGACACTGACATTGGTTTGGAGAGAAAAGACTCTGAAACAAGATCATTAAGAAATGGGAGAACGTCTTCCACGCATTCACTTATTGATGCCCTTAGTATACAAAATGGAGAGTCTATACACCAGCTTACAGATGAAACCAAAAGTTTGAAGTCCTTGGGAAGTTCCGATGGTGTGGTGCATAAGAGTGGAAGCATCGATGAGAATTTGAGGGATTCTGGTGTTGGTGGTGAAAGCAAGATTTCAGATGGTGGTTTGGCAAATGGTATGGTACATGGTGATGGTATTCTTAGTGGTGATGATTTTGGTGATGGTGGTTCTGGTTATGGTGTTACTAGTGATGGTGATGATGGTGGTACATATGGTGATGGTCATCCTTACAGTGAGGATGATGGTGATGGTCCTAACATTAGTATAACTAGTGATACCAAGGATCCCTATAGTGATGGTCATCCAGATTACCATCATGAAAGTACCAAACAGGCCATGCCTAGCATTGATGTGGTACCAGCGACAGAACCCCAAGCACCGCACATGAGTCTAAGCAGTCTTCAGGACGAAGTAAGATTGGTAGCTACAGAAGTGTTATCAAGACCTAAGTCAGGAAGGATATTGGCTGCGGATGCAGAAATGGCGACATTCTTACTTCTGGAGAGAATGCAAGGATTATTAGATCCTCGTCTCGCAGGTGAGCTGCCCTGTCTCATTGAGTGATATCTCAAACGTGGGATCTAATGTAGCACAGTCATTGTTAATACCATTCTACATACAATAAGCGGCCGTACTTTTTCCATAGGCCATGTTACACGATGCAATTTTTTTTCTGACATAGAGCCATATTATGTAAAAAGTAATCGGTGTGAGCAATGTTCATAGTTTACTCTTTTTTCATCTTATTTTTTTCATCCATTAAGAATAAGTTATGTACAGGCAGAGCAGAATATGGGCCATGCTCTGTGGCTCCTTCTTAGATAACATGGCTCTGTATCCGACATTGTGTTGCAAGTTGCGATAAAAATTTCCTCGTGTAAAGCCCATTATCCACTAGGCGAATTTGTTCGTCCGAAGCGAAAAACATGTCTTGGCAATGTAATTGGTCGCCACGAAAGAGTTGCGACCAGTTCCAACTTTTTTACTGTTCGCGCGAACAAATTCGCCTAGTGGAAAATGGGTTTAACATGGTCTTTACATTTGAAAGCGGCATGTCGTAGATTTTTTCATGCCCCGTTGATATCTATAGTTGCCTTTAAACTATTGTTTTTTCGTTATAGCCAGCCATACCACCGCCGTAAACTACTGTAATGTTTTGTTTAAACTTTAACATAAAACGTAATGCTGTATATCTGTCTGTCAATAGAACCATGGCCATGTTGGTGTTCCAGAGAAAAGAGTCCAATTAAAATTATTTTGAATTGGAACACCAACATGGCGGCTGTGATGTCATGTGCAAACGCACTATAAGAGCTCCGTTTCTTCCTATTTCATGTTCAGAGCTTCACAAAAATATAAAAATACCATGCGCTTTACGCTAGATGGCTAAGAATTGAGAAATATCAAACAATTACACGTCTGTAAGTTTTGCAAGTTAGACTGGAAATGTTTGTATCATAGTTTTGTGATTCATTTCTATTATGTTTGTGTAGCCGAAAATGTCCGTGCAAGCTCGGCTGCTCCGAAGAAAGTACGTTCTCTGGGTCAACTCAGGAATAGCGAAGTCAAGAAGAAGAAAAGAGTGAGATCGGCTGAGGCTACCTTGGCTTCGAGAAATCTTGTCGAGTCGGAGGAAAAACTGGCTCAACAAGCTTTTAAGCCTGAGGAAAAACAACCCGAACAAGTTTCTGTGCCTGAGGAACAACAGGCCGATCAAGTTTCTATATCTAAGGAAAAACAGGTTGATCAAGTTTCTAAGCCAGAGGAAAAACAAGTTGATCAAGTTTCTAAGCCTGAGGAAAAACAAGTTGATCAAGTTTCTAAGCCTGAGGAAAAACAAGTTGATCAAGTTTCTAGTGAAGTGCAAAAACCCCAGGAAAATGATGTCAGTCTTGGTAAGTTGAAATGGCAACTACAGGCCACTCTTTGTATGTCTTCGTTTCGTTGCCTGGTTTCCAATAAGAAATAGAAATCGTGTTTCCATAAAATTACAATATCTCAAACATAGTGCATGGTTTAGTGTACAGGATGTATTTTACAACAACCCACCGTAGGCCACCCCATACTATTTTCAGCTAAGATCTATACTACCATAGTATAAGGATTTTGAAAACATTTCCAGTAGGCCGTATGGTCAATTTCTGAATGACTTGAAAAATATTGTCAATTATGTGAGGGATCAGGAAAAATACTGCAGGTTCATTTTAACCACTCACCCCATGAATAGCCTGATAGACATATCACTGTTACACCGGTACTTTTTTAATAGCTTGGTCGACCTGGAGACCGCAAATTATCACCTGGACCTCTAGATAAAACAGTTTAGAACATAGACGGCTGGCCAGTATAAATAAAGTTAGTTTGGTTTTAGTTTACCCCAGCAGTATACAGCAGGTGGAAACGTTTGAGGTTTTCGAGAAATATCACAAAGCTTGCGAGTTGTACTTTAAAGAAAACAGTTTCTTAGGCTGTTCATGGCGTCTAAATTCAAAAGTAGCCATAGGAGGTTTATTTATTTATTTAGCTTTGCCAACTAGGGCAGGGTCACCACAACAGCGTATGCCAATTACTGTGGGCCCTTTTTACCTAACCCACCCTGTCAACTTTCCCTGTGGGAGGAAACCGGAGTACCCGGGGAAAACCCACGGCTTTCGGC